TGTTGGGGGGGGGGGGTCTTTGATCTCTCAGAACTCTCTTGTCATTTGCATAGTAATCTTTTTATATTTTGTGAATGCAACACTTTCTCAGTTACTGCTATACATTCCAATTAGATTTTTAATTTTAGTTCCTTCATTAATAATGCTTCAGGTCTCTTGTTCTGCTTGTTCCACTTGGTGCCTTTCTTTTGATTGCCAGTTTTCTTCACATATCTGGCCATACCTGGTTATCTGCTCATTTATAGATTGGTATACTATCAATCAATATCAATTATTGATAAGAGTGTCCTGAGCAATTATCACTCTTCTCTCCTGGTTTGCACACCTGTGCTCTGCCTGTGGCATGTGGATGGGGAGGTGCTGGAAGAGATTTTATTAGTTACATTAAAAAAATCCTGTCTTTTATCTCTCTGATTCTGCACCCACATAAGACACCATCAGAGTAGGCCTCCTGTGTAAGAGAGTGATGCTTACTAGCTGTAGTTGGAACAAAAACAGTGAGACATTTCTGGGGTGGGGTGGGGTAGGGTAGGGGGAGTCCTACTAGCTATATGTACTGTATCTTGGAGAACTATGCTCTGGTCTGGGAACTTGGCCTTTTGAACTCTGCCAAAATTAGGTATGAAGGGCCTTCCTCAAACCTCGTCAGATTCATTGAAAGCCAGCTGTAAACTGTCTTGTAGAGGAGTGTTCTGTAGTAAGTAACATGTTGTCAAAACAAAAACGGCTCTTTAGTGAAATGGTCATTTTATAATTTTCAGTTTTGTGCAGTGTTTATTTCTTTTGAACACATTTGACCTTTTAAAATGTAAGGCATTTGAATTTGTGGAAAGATTCAGGCTTTTCAAAGTTGGAAAGGCAGATATTTCAAGGGATTCATGGCTCAGGACATTTATTTTAAATGAAAGAAGCCATTGACCTTATATACATGGCCTTATGTGTAAAATGTTTTCTTAATTTTAAATTAGAATGTCTTTACATTTTTTTAGAGTTGCTTTATATTTGACTAATTGCCTTTTTTATTCCTAATGCATCTATTAACTCGAATTGGTCAAAATGTTTCTTTTAAAAAAGCTGATAAATATTTGTCAAATCAAAGCTGGATTTAAAGTAACTGTTTCAACTTGGATCGGTTCTGTGTTGTAGAGCTGCAGTGACAGGTGATTGATAGTTTGGCCCCTGACGTCTTCTGATGTGTTCAGTGTGTGTTGCTTGCTCTGTGGCCCTGGCAAATTCCCCTTCCTTTTCAGAATGGGACAACAGAGGAGGTGACTTCAGAGGAGGAGGAGGAGGAGGAGATGGCTGAGGTAGGTGTTTGCATAAGAACATCATTTTATAAATATCTTCATTTTTGAAAATGTTAGTAATTCCTCTAATCTCTCTTATAAACCAGTGTTGGTGTAGAATCATTAAAAGCACGTTGTTTTTGGAATTTAATATAATTTCTAAAATCTGGTTTTACCTCTAATGTATGCTTTTGATTTTGAGCAGATTGCTTATCTGATGTCTTGGATTTGACTTTCTGGAAAATAAGAGCTTTTAACATTTAGCGCTAAAATTATATTTACATTTAATAGTAATCAGTGCTTAACCTGTAATTGGTTATTTTTAAGGAGAACTACTGAGTTTCAAAAGTTCTGTGTTTGAATAAAAGAATTAGAGAACATTTCAGGGACTACTCACTAGAAATAGTAAAATTATCTCATGTTGAAAAATCACCTAAGAATTTCATAGAGCAAATTCCAGACGCATTGAGCTTAGGCCAGTTTAGTTGCCCGTCATTGATAACGATTTGAGAGTTTTCAGGTTCTGAAGCTTTGTGTTTAAATTCAGACTTCGGAATGAAGATCTGCGTGTCTACGTTGATCAGATAAAAAGGTCTTTGAGTTTCATGGTCTTGGTTTTAAAACTTTTTTTTTGTTTTGTATCTTAGAATTAATCGAACTTATTACCTTATTTTCTTGATTTGGAAAATTTTAAATCTAAAACAGACTTCTTAGAGTGCCTTAGAACTAAAGAAGTAGTTGTGGGCTTGTTTTGTTTTGTGTGTCTGGGAGAAAAGTAATTCTTAACCTTGTCTAATTAGAATGACAGTTTTTGGATAGTTTTTAATGTTTTCATGCAGTTTAACTTGGGTGGAAACAGTAAACCTTTTCCCTGGGTCCAGTGTACAATGAAGTAGACATTGTACTCAAAGAGCTTATGTACCTTTCTTTTCCCCTTACAAGGTAATATAAAGAATAGACAGCCACATGTAGGGAAATCTAGAAAGGTAGGAGACCAGACTTTGGAGGTATCAGGTTAGGGTGGATGAAAATAAGATATTCTTTTATATAGCAACTAAAATAATGTGGCTAAGTAGGGCCCAGAAGTACCCTGGGCATTAGTGTGTTTGGGTGCATTGGATGCTGTCCTTTTGGGAAGAAAAGATTGACTGATGTTTTGGAGTCATAGAGAAAACAAGGTTGGTTGTCTAGAAAAGGCAGATGCTAAAAGTCTTGAATTTGAGACAGACTGTTTCTGTTTGGTGTGATTGTTGATAGAAAGGCTTTACTTGAGAATAGTGGGCCGAGAATATTGTTTTGAAAAGAATGGCAATGGTGAATTTTGTCCCGTGCTTTTTAGCACTCAAGTGGAGAAGATGTGTGGATAGGCCTGTGGCCGAGGTGGACAGTGTGGGAGCAGAGATTCAGGCTCGGGGCATTTGTGGGAACTCTGAAGACAAGTGTTCGATGGGAGATCAGGGCTGGATAGTGGTGCCAACCAGGGGAAGGGAGCTCCTGAAGCATGAACGTGGACAGGGCCTGGATGAGAAGGGAGTGTAGTTGGAAAAGATGGGGGTCCAATGAGAAGACCATTGCGTGTGGATGGAGGTGGTCATTGACCTGGTCTAGAAATCACAGTGAATTAGTCTGCTTAAAAAAATGGAGATAGTAAGCTGAGTTACTAGAACAAAGTATGAACATGAAGGTTCTTGATACCTTGATGCTAAACTGTTTCAAATCTCCTCTTAATAGGAGATTTAAAAGATGGTTTATTTGGTAATAGCTATTAAATATGCTATACTCAGATCCTAGTTTTATAACAAAATATAAGATATAAACAGGGAGCCTTTTGAATGGAATGTGAAGGCTTTTTTTACCCCTTCCTGTAGAGTGCATGTATTCTCTCTCTTCTGCTCATTTCAAGTCAAGAGTAATTTAACTTTTGGCGTAAGCTTGAGTAAGCTAATATTTTTCTAATTTTTGCAGGATATAGAAGACTTGGATCACTATGAGATGAAGGAAGAGGAACCTATTAGTGGAAAAAAGTCAGAGGATGAAGGAATTGAAAAAGAAAATTTGGCAATATTAGAGAAAATTAGGAAGACTCAAAGGCAAGACCATCTAAATGTATGTGTAAAAATCTAGAACCTGGACTTACATGGTTAAGTAAAGTAACTATAGGTAATAATGTAAATACAGGGAAATTCATTAAGATGCCAACCTCAGCTGCCCTTCTCCATCCCTGCCTTGTTGACTCAGCCTTATGTGTTGTTGCCGTAGTATTTTAGTTTAGGTTTCTCATTTATTGATAGCACTTACCACCCTGTTCATCTGCTTTTTACGTCCTGGAATCCCCTCCTGTGTCTGCCCCTTTCCAGCCTGTTTATGCTGTTTCCTCTGCTTACCCTCCTCTTATGGGGTCTGTGTATTTTAATTCAGTCTCTCCTACAAAGTACAATTCAAAATCTCCTCCGTGACATGCTACTCTGGCTAAACTGAAAGTAATTTTGTCTTTTGATGTAATATCTCTTTGATGTGAAACAGCATGGTGGCATGAAATGAACACTTTTGTGACTGACACACCTACATGGCTTCAGTTTCCTCAACTCTAAAACATGGACAGTTTGAACCTTTTGGATGATTGCTCTGAAGTATAAATGAGATCATGTCTATAAAATTCCCAGTCAGAATAGGGAAACATTAAATGAAAATTTAGTTGTCTGTTTGAACACTTACTATTTACTTACTTACTGCCTTGTATTAGAGCTGTTTATCAGCCCCATGAAATCTGAGGATCCGTTGCTTTGTCTTGGGCACAGTGTCTCAAACACAGGGGATGAATTGTTATGCAAGGAGATATCAACTGTTGTAAACAAGTAGATTACTCTCCCTCCTTTAGTCTTACTTGCTATATTAATTCAATTTGCAAGTCTTTCTTAGAGCAAAGAAATTTAGCTACTCTATACTATAATGATGGATACATACCATTTTACATTTGTCTAAACCTATAGAATGTACAATACCGGACCTGAACCTGGACGTAAATTATTGACTATAGGTAATGATGCATCAGCTGTACCCTCTGGTGACGGAAGCTGATAATGAGACTGTACATTGTGGGACTGTCATATGGGAAATCTCTGTATCTTCCTCTTAATTTTCCTGTGAACCTGAAACTACTCTAAAAAATAAATTCTTTAAAAAATTAAGTGGAAAAATTGGTGGAATTTGAAATAGACACATAGTGTGTTCTAGGCTATTTGCAAGGGCCATAGTGACCTGGACATAATGGTTAGACTTTTTTTTTTTACAGATGATAAGAAGTAGTACATGAACCAGACTTGCCCCCAATTTTATAGTCCTGTTGAATCTTTGATTTAATTGAATTAACTTCTTTGACTTCTTAAAATGTTAAGTGGTGACCCATTTTAAAAATTTCATTGTAAACATTTATTTCACGTTCAGATACCAGAGATCTTTAGTTATTTGACTCAATAGACCCTGGTTAACAGCACATTTATGTTTCAGGGTGCGGTATCTGGGTCTGTACAAGCTTCAGACAGACTTATGAAAGAGCTCAGGGACATATACCGGTCACAGAGTTACAAAGCAGGTAAGGCCACTGCATCTCTGCCATCTCTGTTGTCTTTATGCTCTTTTCAATCTTCAGATAGTGAAGTTTATTTCTCATAACTGGAAAAAAACAGAAACATTTATTGACTTTATTTTAGGAATGTGAAATACAAATGTAATCAAGTTATCAAAGATGGGGGGGGTAAAATAGGGTGAGTTTATAGTAGCCCGCCCCCCCATCCACAGTTTCACTTTCCACAATTTCAGTTACCCACGGTCAACTGGGGTCCAAAAATATTAAATGGAAAATTTCAGAAGTAAACAATTCATAAGTTTTACTTATTTATTTTTAAATTTTTTCTTATTGAGAGAAAGAGAAAGAGAAACATTGATTTTTGTTGTTCCACTCATCTATGCATCATTGGTTGATTCTTCTGGGTGCCCTGACCATGGATCAAACCTGCAACCTTGTCATATCGGGATGACACTCTAACCATCTGAGCTGTCTAGCTAAGGCCAATTCATAAGTTTTAAATTGCACACCTTCTGAGCAGTTAATGGTAAATAGTTTCTCAACTAGTTAAAGAAGCCTCTTCATTACTGGCTTTAATTATCTGTGAAGGGCATTAGATACTCAGCTCTAGTGGCAAAATATTTAGAATATAGCTTTGTTCCATGTTTTAATAGCAACATTTCTAGCTTTTTTCTTTCTTTTCTTTTTGGCCATTTAGTGTATATATTTACACCAGATTAATAGTTACAATATCAAATGAAGAGTAAATAACTGACACTTTCTATCTGCAGGGTTTTATTCCGTGGAACTCATAAATGACAGTTTATATGACTGGCACGTTAAACTGCAGAAGTAAGTGACTTTTTCCTGCTAACCCTCTCTTAGTAATGGTTGTAATGGTAGCCCGTCAATGGAGATTTTCCTTTTTAATTTGATACCTTTATAAGCCTATGGTTACTTAGAACTTTAGACCCTGTTTCTGTAATAGTTCTCAGGGCGTTAAAGTGAGCTGTTTCTTGGCTTAATAATAAATAAAGTGAGAAAGAGGAAGGACCAGCTGTGGGATAAAGTGTTTCGTGGAGTTAGTAAGACAAATGGGGACTATAGACACAAAAGTATTTAATAACTTGGTGGGATTGACTGTGATAGCAACTTATATTTGCAATAAGGGATTTGAGTAAGACCTGACTATATAGAAGAGTTATTAAACAAATTTAGGTTTTGTTAGTGATTTCACTTTTTCTGGTCTCATCCATGGTAATTTATCTCCCTGAACCCCTTGTCTAATGCAGTTTTAGATAAGGAGATTAAATTTTTTTTTTGAGTCTTTGAGAAAATTATGTACATATGACAATTTCTTCTAGAATGACTGCTAGCTTTGCATCCCCTTAGAATAGATTTAGAATACTGTGATCTCTTTTTGAACATTTAGTCCCAAGGAGTTTGAGGTTATAGTGATTTGTTTTTCCATAGAACAGCTTTAGACCTTGTCTGTTTAGAACTTACCCTAGGGGCTCTGTTTCAGCTCTTGGGCCAGTTCCATTTTGAGGTTAGTAAGAAAATAAATCTGCCCTTTTTTGTTTTTTGTAATTCTTAGGGTTGATCCTGATAGTCCTTTGCACAGTGATCTTCAGATCTTAAAAGAAAAAGAAGGCATAGAATATATTTTGCTTAACTTCTCTTTTAAGGTAAGAAAGCTGTGACGGACTCCATATGCTTCTAGTGGGAATGTATATTTGTACAATTGCTTTGGAAAAGTTTGGTATTTGTTGGTGCAGTGCCCGCGCACTACAGGAATTCTCCTAGGTACATACCCTTCCAGAAATGAGTGCATAGGACACATGTTCAGAACAGCACTGGGCATAGTTGCCCCCAATGGGAAGGGAAACTGGTTTTCATGAAATGGAACAGAGCTGTGGGCAGCAAGATAGATGACTATTAAACATAATGTTGAGCAAAAGAAGCATATTTAGTTTGATTTCATTTCTAAAAGGTGAAAAATAGGTAAAACTAAATTATATTGTTTAGGGCATGCATTCTCAGTGGAGGTGTTACCACCCCTCCAGTGGGGTGAAAATTGGTCCTTGGAACAAAAGAATCCTAGATATTACAATGGAGGTTTTAAGTCTTTTATTAAAACAAACAAACAAACAAACAAAAACCAAAAACCCTAAGAAGTATTCCTAAGGAGTTGTGTTTTTGAATTATATAGAGCTTCTTTTTTACCTGTTTTTTTAAAATTGAGAGGAAAAATTTGTGAAACAATTGTCTTCCAGATATATATATAAAAATAAGATGATCTGTTTGTTTTAGCCATCAGAAATGTGCTTTTATCTTCCCTATTAGGATTGAATTTTCATAGTTTATAGATTCCTCATAATCTTGTGCAAGGATGGGTAGAGGTAGGGAGTTAAAGTAAATTCCTGGAATTACGCTGCTTACTCTCTTAGTTAAATCTGCATTTTTGTGTTGGGAATAGCTGGGTGCAGCCGATGCCTGTGTGGCTAGCTCCCTGGCCCTCACATGGGTTCCTTAAGAGGCCTTAGTTGTTCCCATCCGGTCATTTGAACACAGACATGGAAGGTAGGCTCCCTGACATGCCTTTGTTAGAGGGACTCTGCTGTCGTCGCTCCCTGCCCCCCCGTAGGGAAGTGTGGGGAGGCGGCCGCCTTTGCTTCGGTTCATTAGGACACATACTCCTGCCACATAAGTGTTGCCGTTGTTGTGCATTTTAGTTCTGGATCTAAGATGTGACCCAGCACAGTTATATAGTTTGTTGATACTTATTCTGTTCCCAGGACTCAGAGTCGTGCTTGGCAGCCTGACAATTAGCTGAGTTTTCTTTTCCCTCATCTTCTCTTCGTTTATTTTTATCAGGTCTGGTGCTCTTTGCGGTTTAATTGGAGCACTTCGTTTGCATTTAATGTTTTGATGTCTGGATTTAACTCCACCATCTCAGGTGCTTTCTCTTTGTCCTTCTCGCTGTTTCTTATTACTTTGGATTTTTCCCTTATTACTGCAGTGTGCCACCTCTCTTAGCTTGGTCCTCACATGTTCTTTGCCCCTCTTTACTCCCCTCCAGTCACAAGACATGTCCTTGACCTGTCAGAGTCTAACATAAACTGGTCACTTTATGTTTTCCCTTCTCTTTGTCAACACAAAGACCTTAGAACACATACTCCTGCCACGTAAGTGTTGCCGTTGTCATGCGTTTTAGTTCTGGATCTAAGATGTGACCCAGCACAGTTATACAGTTTGTTGATACTTATTTAAGTCTGCGTGCATATTGGCACTTTTCATGGTCTTTGTTCTCAGGTTTCCATCCAGGAGCAGTTTTCTCTTGCCTGAAGAATAGCCTCTAGTATTTCCTTTAGTGTGGATCTGATGCTAGGAAAACATTCTTATTTTGACTTCATTTTTAGAAAGTATTTTTGCTGCGTCTAGATTTCTAGGTTGGACATTCCTTTTAGCACCTCACAGATACCCTTCCCTTGGCATAGCTTCCATTGTTTGTCTTGAAGTATTTATAGTGCTTATATCTTGCGAAGTTTTTATCAGTTTGGGAAATTTTTCAGACGCTATCTCTTCAAATGTTGCTTCTGTCCCATTGTTTCCTCTCTTTTGGGACTCTGCATATGACCTGCTTTTTTGGTACGTTCCCCTGTGTCTTGTTTTCCACCTTTTTATCTCTCTTGGCTTCACTGTGGATGTTTTTTGACCTATTTCCCAGGACAATGAATTTCTCTTCAACGGAGTCTTCACTGTGGTTAAACTTGTCCATTAAGTTACTAGTTTCAATTATTGCATTTCTAAGTTTCAGAATTTCTGTATAGTTTCTTAATTCTCTGCCAGGGTTTTCAGTCTTTGCTTGCATATATTCATGACAGTTATTTTAAAATCTGTGTCTGATAACTCTATTATCTTGATCCTTCCTGGTTTTATGTCTGTTGTTTGCTCTATTTTCTAATTATGTCATCTTTTGGTCTCATGGAATGGTTATTTTTAGTGACAAACATTGCATAGGAAAGACTAGGGAGCTAATTTGAAGCCTTTGATGAGCCTCTTCTCCGGAGAGGATTTGCCCTGTTGGGGGCTTGGGCACCATCAGCCCAGGGTCACTGAGTCAGTTGGGGTTTGAGATGACTTAAAGCGGGGCCTCCTTCACTGTCAGCCAGGGCACTTTGCAGTTTGCCCTCCAAGGTGCCAACTACAGTGCGTGGGCCAGGTAAAGCCTCTCCTCAGTGGACCCTGAGCTCCAAGTTTTACCTCCCTATACAGTGAGTCTGCGACTTCTGTTCAGCTTCTTAAGCTTTCGTCTTCCTCTGCTGTAATGGGAAGAAAACCTGGGCGGGGGGAGGCCCCACTCTGTGGGGTTACTTTTTCTTCTTGATCTTAGCTCTGTTATGATTTACATTTTGTCCGCTTTTTCCAGTTCCCAGTCAGAAGATTGATCCAAATGACCTAGTTATCATTGGACTGTCCCTTTATATAGCTCTGTTGGAATGCGGACATTTCATAAACTTAACCAAACATCGCTCTGCTTGAGCGTGATCTTCATTTTCATTTTTATTTGCTTTGATTCCATTTTATTTTTTGGTACTATTTTTACTTTTATGACCCTCACTCATCGTCAGATAACAAGTGTATACATTGTTTATAAACTAAAATCTTCTAAATAATATAGTATTGAGGATGTTCTTGAAATTAATTAAATGTGCTTACTTGCTTTTCAGGATAACTTTCCATTTGATCCCCCATTTGTTCGAGTGGTGTTACCTGTTCTCTCAGGAGGGTAAGTGTAAGTGATCTTTTCTTCGATAGTGTGCATTAGAATCTTTTGGAGGGCTAGTTAAATGCTAGGAGGCCAGAATGCTAGGCTTTTCTGCAAAGTTTCTGATTGAGTAGGTCTGGGTGGGGCCTGAGAATTTGCATTTCTAAGGCAGTCTCTGGTCTGGTGAAGCTGATGTTGCTAGTCTGGGGTCCACAGTTTGGGAACCACTGGTACCAACCATTACGTTGTTTAGAGGTAGAGTTTTTCATGGTCCCTATTTATATACATTTCACCATTAAAAACCAGATGTTTCTCAAATATAAATTGTGTGTGTCTAGAGGAAGTTAGGATTAGAGAATGATTCTCATCTGCCTGTGATCCTAGGAAAAATCACAGAAATCTCATGGGTCTGTGGAGCTAGCCTTCAAATGTCTTCTAGAGGTGGTTGTTACAGTTTGGTAGAAACAAATGGTAATTGTCATGCATTTTTATTGAAGCTTGGGAGAAGATCAGAGTTTGTATTAGGTTAGTTATGAAGTGTTCTGTAGACCCTCAAAGTAGGAGCAGTTAAACTAATTTGAGAATTCTGAAATGCTTAGCTGACCAATTCACTTTGTGAGATGATCCATTTATGATCAAAGTCTAAAACTATTCAGTCCTTATTTTGCCCATCTCTATGGCTGATATAGTTTCATTGAGATTAAAAATAAGGGTGGCTATAGATGATTAAGGAAAGACTTTGGAAAAATTCTGTAAATTCAGAATAAATGTATAAAAATATTTTTATCAGTTCATTTTAAAATCTGATATAAACTTGACCAGCATAGATTTGTTTCACATTTTTGTTGCAAGAAATGCCAAGAATATTAAGAATTTATGATCTTAAACAGTTTACCACTTAGCTGTGGAGACAGACACACAAAGTTAGGAATACAGTTGTCCCTCGGGTATCTAGGGGGATTGGATTAGGGCTCCCGAGGATACCCAAATCCCTGGGTGCTCAAGTTCCTTACATAAAATGGCACAGTATTTGCATGTAACCTGTGTATAACCTTGTGTATACTTAACTCCTCTCTGGGTTCCTTATATTACCTAATATAGTGTAAATGCTGTGTACATAGTTGTTACAGTGTATTATTTAGGGAGTAATGACAAGAAAAGTCTGTCGATGTTCAGTACAGACACAACCACCAACCGCTATAAGCCTAACTACATAGTACATGTCAGCAATGATGTAACTTAAAAAATACATATTTTCAATCTGTGATTGTTTGAACAGAGAGCTGACTATAATGCCATTTTCAGTTTTTGAATCTTTTACATAGTTTTTCTTTACTGATTATTTTTTCTACAGTGGGGTTATTATCCCGTTATTCAAATAAATAATTGTTAGATTCCTTACTTTGTAAAGTAATTTGGTTTATTAAACATGAGGATGCATTTGGTTAGCTAGAATCCAAAATTCACAGGCTGGATGGTCTTGGCAGGTTTTATTGGGCGCGGGGCCATAGCATTTGGGAAAGTAGGCAGCAGAAAGAATTTCAGGTACAGGCAGGACAAAGTCTCAGAGGACAAAAAAAAATTGTGGTGGACTCAGTTTTCACATGGACCTAATCAGTGGTCTTAGCTTATTTATTTTTAAGGTTACTACAGTTTTTCTTGTATAATCATCATTCCCTTGATTTTATTTGTAGGCATGATATTTAATGCATTTTTGAGTTTAAAATAACATTAAAGGAGGAATTATTTTGTTTGAGAAAGTGTTAAAAGGCTGAAGAATCTTGATCTATACTGGATCTTAGCCAAAAGGCCAAGAAGCGATGTAGAATCTTGATCTAAGTAATGATTTCCTAGGAGAGCTCTGGGAAATCCCCAGAAGTTATCTTTGGCTCAGACAACAGTCCTCAGAACTAGAAAGAGAAATTGAGGAGTCACAGCGAGGGGCTCCAAGGCCAGAACCTCACAACACAATGAATAAAAACAGTTTAAACCGTAATTGCAGATGTTCGTTATTACAGATATGGTAAAGTCATTACTTGTGTTGGAGGGAAAATCCTTGGCTGTGTAACATGGAGGCAGAGAAATTTTCAGCTGAATAGAATACTTGAATGTCTTCTAAGGAAACGGATTCTCCTGCCTCCGTTCTCTGGAATATTTAGGGCTTAGTTCTTAGTTTCTGATATCTGAAAAGTCTATAAGTAATCTGTTACCAAGAACCATTATTTTAAAAAAATTAAGACTGTATTAGAGAGATGATATTAGAATTTTTAAATTACTCAGTCTTGTAACCGTGACAACTGTTTCTGTTTTTCTGTTATCGTTGTATCTCTACATGTATGCATATTTTCTTAGTAATGGTACTTCAAAAATTAAGGAGTACTGAGATCTAGAGAATTTTGTATGATTCCTGTTTTCTTTTAAGGTACGTGTTGGGTGGTGGCGCGTTATGTATGGAACTTCTCACAAAACAGGTGACTCTTTTTTATGGCACTCATGGTCTCCAACCTCTGCGTGGTTTGATTGTGTAAATTAGATTCTGAGTGGAAAAGCTCTGTTGCAGTAGCACCTACTTTGAAATTTTTAAAAATTTTCTTTTAATAGCGGCCACTTTTAATAATGAAAAAGCTATGTAAGGTTAAACCAGTAAAATGACATTGTTTTGGTTGTTTTATCTGTGCTAAGATAGAAAGTAAGTTATATTTAAGGTTATAATTTGCTCGTGTTTGGCATTTAAAACAGGTGTTTTTTGTGTGTGTAAGATTTTGGAAATGGTTCAACTTTAACTTCTTGACTACAAACATCTTAATATTAATTTGCTATTGTTGAGTTGTTACAGGCCATTTTGTTAAGCTTTCCTAAGTGGTAATCAGGAATACTGCTGTGTTTTAGAGAAGGCTTTTTTCTCCCTGTAGGGCTGGAGCAGTGCCTACTCGATAGAGTCAGTCATCATGCAGATCAATGCCACCCTAGTCAAAGGCAAAGCCAGAGTGCAGTTTGGAGCAAATAAGGTACTTTTATTAAGAATGTCATATAAACTGTAACATGTATATTTCCTATCTTATGAGGCTTCTTCCTATTCTTTTAGTCTTTGTTATTTTTACTCTAGATAAGCATGTATAATTTTGATCTTGTTATTGGTATGTATATTGCTAATAAATAAAAAATTATATGTACTTTGAACTTGCCCCAAATTGAGATCATGTTATAATAGTTAATTCCCTGTGAGCATTTATGTGCTAAGCTCTAATCTAAACTTTTTACTTGTATTAACTCTTTCAATCCTCTTAATAACCTAAGAGTAGTATACTTTTCTTGTCCTCATTTTGTAGATGAGGCACTTGAAGCCCACAGAGGTTAGGTAACTCGTCTAAGGTGGTAGGTGGCAGAGCAAGGATTGGAACCGGACACTCTGACATTAGTCTCTGCTTTTAACCACTGAGTTCTGTTTATTTACTTCCTATATCAGAAACATCTTTTCATGTCTAATTGTAGTTATCTATAAACACATGAGTGGACCAAGGATGGGCTGTGAAGTTAGTATGTTTTGGAAAAATATTTGTGGGAGGGAAATCATTCTGACCTAACATTTAAAAACAAATTCAGCTGTTCCTAAAGTTCTGTGTGAATTTTGTGTTAAATGCCTGTCCAAATAGTATTAAATCTAAATATGTTTTTGTAACCATATTGCAGGTCAAAGCATGAGTCCACTAGAATCTTACCTCACAGAGGAAGCAAAAAATGAGTTCTACGTAGGTTGCAATAGCATTCTTTAACTCAGTTCATTGTGTGGAGAGGGACACTAGAGCTGTAAGGAGTTGTACTTGTGTAGTGGTAGCAGGACTTACACAGATGAACTGTGAAGGTTGTAGATTTTATTGGAGTACAATTTGGGTTTTCTCATTCTTCTAAAATGGTAGACAATAAAGAAATTGAGAAATGGGGGTATTTGGTTAAAAATCATTTTGAAATGGAAATATAATTGTTTCCTGTGTGGTGACACATCCATAAATTATTTTTCATGATTTTCATCTACTTAGAGTTTTGACTTAAAATGTATAACTCTCTTTCAGAATCAATATAATCTAGCAAGAGCCCAACAATCTTATAATTCCATTGTACAGATACACGAGAAAAATGGTATGTTTAATTCAGTATGTATTTATTGCCATTTATGAGTTTTACCTAATGTACTGTTGATATTTATCCTGTTTTATTTTTGTTTGTGCTTTAATGTCTTATAAAATACAGTTACCACAGTGAAAAAAGTTAACTTGAGGATACACAAACTGTGCTTCATTTAAAGTCTTGGCGTCCTAAATACTTAGCCTGAGAACCTCTGAGTCAGAATGAAGATTTTTTTAGTAGATTAATGAATGAATCATTTTGTTCATTTGAAGATACGGTGTTAGGATAGGAACCGAGTAAGTTACCTTGTTAATGCTGAGTAAGTGCAGGCCAGGATCCTGAACCAGCTGTTTCCGAAACAACTTCAGGTGATATAGTGTTTTTTGACAATTGTACACATTTATCTATCCAAGTTAATTTCTAATATCAGTATCCTCTTAAGAGTATTTGAGCTGCATATTTTTAAAAAATCCTAAAATACATTTCATAAACTTCATTGACCTTCCTGAAATTTTGCTTATATTCACAATGCATATTTTGAGTTTTTATCTCTGACAGTGAGGTAATAAAAGTTGACTTGGTGTTAGAAGACCTATTTTCAGTGCCATTTGTGTCACCCGCCAGCTCTGTGACCCTGAACAAGTCGTGTTACTTCTCAGTCTCAGTTTCCTCATCTCCCAAATTGGCACAATGTCTGTCTCGCCAAACTTATGAGGAAAAAAAGTATCATGCAGCACTTTGTAGCTAAGTGCTGATAAGATATTCATTGCAGCTAGTGAAACTGATGCTTTTTGTGTGCAGAGTAAATAAATAAAAAGAAATACAAAGTAGTTTTCTTTTAGGGAGTATTTATAATAAACCGTTCTCTACTTTGCTAGAAATGTGATAGCTTGTGACTTAAGAGTTGTGTTTTGTGCTTGCTTTTATTTTAATGACAAAGGCAACGTCACGTTGTCAGTGACTGCTTACTTCTGAGAGAATAGTACAGGCATACCTCGGAGGCATCTGTTTGCAGACCAGCGCAGGAATGCAAATGCCATACTTCAGGGAGTCATAGGTTTTTTGCTGGTGGAGGCTGTGCCTTCGGTTTGTAAAAAATGCAACACTTGTGAAGCCCAGTAAAACGAGGTATGCCTGAATTCAAAACAGTTCTCAAATTTCTGAAGAGGGAAACGCTCAAACTTGAGGGCAAGTGTGGATTTTGATAATAATCCTCTCCAGCCCCCTAAATTAGTAGATCTAGAAACACCCGTATGCCAGTTCGTAACCACATGGAGTGCTACAGCCTTGGTGCGTTTATACTGTTCCAATGGTAGTGTCCTACCAAACAGAATTTAGTCTCATTTGCTTAGAGCTTAAAGTTTTGTTGAGTCTGGAAACAATCATATTTTATTATTTATTTATTTTTAAAGCAAACATTGTAGTAAGCATTTAAAAATGTTACAGAAAGTGCTGTATTTGGGAAAGTGTGGTTGTGTGTAAGGTCAGCTGTGGTGAGAGAGCAGTAGATTCAGGATCAGGAGTTGGACTCTAGTTTGGTTTCTGCTGCTAATGGATCTTAGGTACAGTCACTTAGTGCACCTGCTGAGATGGCTTCCTCACAGCTGAAGTCACAGCATTTCATTCCACTGATGACAATCCAAGTTCCTCTCGTAATAAAATGCCAGGATTTTGTTTGAGGGTGAGTTATTTTCAGTGAGGTTTACTTTTAAATACAGAATCTAAATGGAAATATAAAGCCTACGTTGTAGTCTAGTATTACATACTCATCTTTAGCTAGAAATGCCATTAATATAGAGATCTTATGTTGAAAACTTATATACAATTTATTCATAAAAAATAACTTTATACAGATAGTCTCTACTTACAGTGGTTTGACCTAGAGGTTTTTGACTTTATGATGATGTGGAAGTGATATGCATTCATAGAAACTGTATTTTGAATTTGAATTCTGATCTTTTCCCCTGCTAGCGATATGTGATATACTTTGTGATATTGAACAGCAGCATTGAGCTGCAGCTCCCAGTCAGGCAGAGATCATGAGAGTCAACAGCTAGTGCTCCAGAGAGATAATTCTGCCCATTGTGGGCTAACACAGGCACGGAATCCCATTGTCAATCAGGGAGCATCTGCACTGTAAACAGTAAAATGCTATGGTACTAACTCAAGTGTAAGTATAATTTTTACAATAGGTTTAAACATGAAAATTATGAGTAGAGAAAGTAGCTAACCTTAATAAAATGCCATTACTCTTAGTTAAAGAATTACATTATTTTTTTCCATTCTATTTCAGGCTGGTACACCCCTCCGAAGGAAGATGGCTAAATGTATTGACTGTCATATGTTTGGACCAATGTTGCTTTAAAGAAAATCTTCCCACCATGCAGACCAGCTTTGAGTGCCCCTATAACAGCAGTACCGAAGACGTTAGCTCATAGATATTTTAGTGGATAATTTGTCAACTGACATCCTGTATAAGTTTATAGTCTTCTCATTTTGCTCATTTTAGGTATCTTGGACTCAGCAGTGAGTCCTTTACTGTATTTTTCTTGATAAATACACACACTGGCCACTCCTTATATCTCTTTTTCTTGAAAAATGAAATCTGTTAAGCAGGCAAGTCAGCATCAGGTTACTGAAGTTGCGACTTTAGGGTAACTTTTCCATAATGAGCTCGTGCATTACGAGGACTTGCAGTATCTTATTTCACTTGGAGCCAATAAAGGTTTATTTGGTGTTTAATATTGGTTTAGAAAATGTAAGGTCTAAATCACAGTAGCCTTTTCAGATTAAAACAATTTTATGATTTCGCCAAAATAATGACAGGAGACCTACTCAATAAAATGTTAAACTTTTTTATGGCCATGTAAAGATATGAGCCATCTCCCAGAGGAAGATATGCTCTTACCTAAGTTGTGTTGTAGTTTTTAGGTAAAGTGAAGCACAGGGTTGGGCCAAGTAAGCTAGTAAGGCTTGTAGTAGCAGTTTCCACTGGGGCATCACAGTCTTGCTGGGCTGAATCTGTTTATTGGTTCAATATGTCTTATGAAGATCTGCGATACAGATCTTGAAGTTATTTAAAATACTAAGTCATTTTACATTTCCATTTTATTAACGGGATGTTGCAATTGTTTGTAAACTAATAAACTTATAAAGTGATTGGCACACAGACTCCTTGAGCAAAAGCTGCACAGTGAAGTACAAAAAGATCCCTAATTTGGAGACTCTTAAATTTTTTGCTGTAGTCATAACAATGGCTTTTACTTAAAGACTAATAGGAACTCTATACATGTTAATTCTTTTATAAAACCTGACCCAAATCAGTATACTCTCCATTTTATTGCCTTACCTGAATCAGTCCTATTTGATTGGTAATAGATTTTTTATATGCCCACGTTTGATTTAAAAGTAACTTCTAGTTATTAAGCACTTTTAAAATGAAATCCAGAAGCACATTTTTCTGCACAAACCACTTACAAAGTTCAAAAGTGTTTCTTACACATTTGCTTTGAGATTCAGTTTTTAACTTTGTAAACCACATTGGAGAGACTTGGCACTTCTGCATTGTGTGGCTGAGGGGACAGTAGAGACAGATTTTCTGGCATTCTTGTTCACATGGTTACATTTGTATACAGTTCTGATACAGTTGCTCAGATAAGTGACATGGCAGAATTCTTTAAAGCATTACAGTTCCTTAAACCTAAGGCTAAATCTTGAATACATTATTGAATTCTTTAATATCCTGATGGCTAGCAGATTGACAGCTGCACATTTGGCATGCTTTGTTTTTTTTGGAGTTTATTTTTCATTGCAAATTTATTTGGCAATGTACAGTAAATTTTGTAAACTTGCATCAAGTTTATGAATAAAGAATCATTTAAAAAATAACTCTGTCATTTACCTCATTAGATACTCTTTGCTTCAGGTGTCTGTAGGTTCTATTGAGTTTCTGGAATAGGACTACATGTGGTTCGAGGGGGTGAGGAGAGACTTCAGAGGAAGAGAGCAGATTGATTTAACAAGAGAAAGCTACAGACCCCAGAAGTGGTGTGTACAGATGTGGTATCCTCAGGCTTTCCTCAACCTTTTTGCTTTCCCACACTCATTTAATAGAAATTCTTCATGGCTGTCCCTAGTTCCCCCAGTTCCAATAATCTGCTCCCTCTTTAGTGTACCTATAGCTTCCTTACACACATCTGTCAAGTTATGTCATTTAAAAGAAGTCCAGAGGTAGGAAAACTCCAGGGACAGTACATCTGGGCTCTGCTTTGCTTCTTCGAGATTTTTCTGTGTTGATTTCACCTTTGGATTGATGTGTAATCATGCTACTTCATCCAGAGGTAAATAATGGTCCCCTCTCCCAGTGTCTCCTTAGGAGGTGTGGGATTCTTTAGAAGTCCCCTCTCCCCCCAGCATAGTGCCCCTCACCTTTCCTTGCCTAGAATTGGGGCCACACCTAAACTACTGTCTGCTGGGAAGGGTGAAATCATCATGATTACTTTAGACCATGTTGAGCAGATTGATTTAACAAGAGAAAGCTACAGGTTCTCAACATGTCATTTGGGGAGCCCTGGAGGCCCCATGAGACCCTTTTAGGAGGTTTTGCAGGTCAAAATTATTTTCTTAATAATAAAACATTTGCCATTTTCAGTCTCATTCTCAAGTGTACAGTGGAGTTTTCCAGAGGCCACATGACGTGATATTGCCACAGACTGAATTCAAAAGCCAATCCAGCTTGCCTTCTACTAAGCCAGAAGTTATAGAGGTTTGCAAAATGTGAAGATGTCACTATTCACTACTGGGGGGCTGGGCTATTTTTTCATAAAAATGTTATTGTTAATCTGTAATGGATTTATTACTTTAATATTAAAATATTGTACTATGGTAAATGTTAACAGACATAACGCACATAAACAAGCTCTTTGGGGCTGTCAGTATTTCCTAGTGTGAAGGAGTCCTGAGGCCAGAAAGTTTGAGACCCACTAGTTTAGACCAATTACTGGGCATCGAGCCAGGGCTTCGCCAGCAGGGGAGCGGCCGGAGCGCAGGTCAGGCACAGGCGCGTCTGCTGTGCTCCCTTTCCCTGCACCCGTGGTTCTCAGCCCGAGCTTGCATCGGAATTGCGGGGCCGCCCCAGTCCGAGTCAGCATGCCTGGGTGAGCACGAGGCGCGCCGACGCGACGCGGGGACGGCGGCGCAGGTGGTCGCCAAGCGCGGCCACGCGCGGGCGGGAGCAGCGCTCATTCGCACACCCGCGGTGGGCTTCTAAAGCGGATACCGCCCGCTGAGAAACCGGCTCATGGTGTTACCAGGCACCGGGGCTGTGGAGACCACCCAGCGTCACGTAGTCTCTGCCTGCAGGGACTTGTCAGCTAGCTGGCTTTGCAGCAACGGCGGGACTGACAGTCGAGAGGGCGACGTTAGGCTGTCGAGCGCCGACCCACGCCGGAAGCCCACTGCCGGAAGTCCCGGTCCCGCCCCCGGCCGGAAGTGGCTCGCGCCTGCGCATTGCGCACTGGCCAGGGCCGGTGCCGCTGCGTAACCCCTCCGCGCCCCGGTCC